TAAATATATAAGACAACCAAGAATTAGATAAAGACTTAGAAAGTGGTTTCTATCGGTAACAGAGGCAATAGTTCAGGGTACCGTTCAATGAAAATTTATCGGACCCAGCGGTAGAAACGGATTTCGCGAATTTCGACGATTTTCGGAAAATTCGGTCTAAAAAATAGTCAAACCTATTTGAATTTCCCTCCGAGATTAGACGAAATCAACCCAAATTTTGACAAAAAAATCCGATAATCTTTAATCTCCAACAGAAGATGCACTGTTGTATTGCAAAGTTGTATTGCTGCTCTGTTGCTTCAGCCGGGGATCCACAATTCATGCACGGGAGAAGAGTGGTTGCAGGCTGATTGGCGGCGGACCGAGAGCAGCGTCGCCGCCGCGAGCGCACGCGAATGCCTCAGGCGGCTCCCTTCCCCCACCATCGCCACGGGCACTCGCTCCCCTCGCACTTTGCCCGTCCAACCGCAGAGGACTGGATGCCGGCTCCCTAGGCATGCGAGCAACAGGAGATGGAGAGCAATGGAGGGAGGCGGCGGCGGCTGAGGGGTGAGGAAGAGAGAAAAATAAAATTCTGCTCGCTTAGGGCTTCAACCATAATGTTATATAGTAGGGCATAGATATATGGGCCATATAGGCTTGGTTGGGCCGAAAACAAATTCAAACTGGGCCGAAATTGAAAGGCCGGTATGAGCTTTTATCGGACCCCGGCGATAGAAACGATTTTCGGCGAAAATCTGCCGATATTCTGAACTACAGAGCTCACCGAAATGATACCAAGACTTTTTGATTTGGCCTCAGCTAAAATTGCACGGTCACATGATAGTAATAGAAAAAAGAGGAGACAAAAAAGGTAACTAACTGCGCTATTTGCGTCGACCAACCTGCTAGTTGTAAACAAGTTTAGCTTTGTCTTGATTCAAATTTCTTTAGTTTTAGTCAAATTTATAAAAATATACAAACATTTATAATACCTGTATTAAACACCAGTACACCACGATATATATTGTTGGAAATACGGACTACTACTAGACATATTGTAATGGCTGGGACCCACGCGCGAACATAAAAAAAACACTCTTCTTTAGTACGGAGTACATATTTTCTTTTCCCAATTTCACTTGCTTTCCCCATTTCACTTGCTTTCCTTCCGCCCATTGACGAGTTGACGACCCAAGGTCCCAAATCGAGGTGAGTCGCCTGCGCCGGTGACGGTGAGGCCGCCCGCAATCCGCCATTCTCACTGCCGGTTCCGTCTCGCCGCCATCGAAGAGGGTGGAGGTAATAAGCTCAATCTCAAACCCCAGGTTCTTAAGTTCTGTCAACTGTTCTGTTTTTCAGACGAAATCTAAACATTTTAGATCAATCAATGGAGACTTTTTTTTTAATGTCGCACTTGTTGAAACGGATCCACTCGAGACTTTTTTCAGATCGACTTGGCTTATTTTCTTTCTGCTGGATACATTTCTCCGCTACTTTGTGCTCACTGTTCACTGCTCAGTGCTCACTCGCGACTCTCGGAATCGGAGTAAGCCCTCTTTAGCTGCTTTTGCGACCTTCAGTTCTCACTCTCGGAATCTCCCGTTGATTTCTGATGCCCTCGCCCGTGCAGCAGCAGCAGTCCATCACTCCATCCATGGGGGTCTCCTTCTCGAACCTCACCGACGCCGCATGCGCCGTGCACCAGTTTAAGATCAACGGCTACTCGGCCACCAAATCCATGGCGAGGACGGACACGCTCCCGTCCAAGCGGCTGGCCGTGGGCGGGTACGAGTGGGTGGTCCACTACACCCCGAGCCTCGTCGTCGACGGCGGCTACTGGATTGCGTTCAGGCTCGTCCTCCTCAGCGCGCCGCGCCGGAACGACGTCAAGGCCGCGTTCAGATGCCGGCTGCTGTATACTTCCTCCAACTCCTACTACGGTCATGAACGCGGTGCGTGCGTCAGGGATTCAATCGGGAACGTGGAAGGCCAGATGTCTCATGCGTTCAAGCGGGCGAAGGAGAGCTCCGGATGGATTCCGCTCCGCAAAAGGAATGATGTGGAGGCGGCCCGGGTCATCGAGAACGACTCTTTCACCGCGGAATGCACCATCACGGTCGTCACCGAATTACCGGAGCCTGACACAGCAAAGACTAATGTCGTCCGGCCCCCAATTCCGCCATTGTCGGGCTTGCATTCCTTGCACCATGATCTCGGTGAGCTCTTGAGCAAGGCAACGGGATTTGATGTCGTGCTGGTGGTGTCCGGAGAGACCTTCGCAGCGCACAAGGCCATACTTGCATCAAGGTCCCCGGTTTTCATGGCCCAATTCTTTGGCCCCATGAAGGAGACGCACTCACAGAGGGTGGAGATCATGGACATGGAGGCACCTATATTCGGAGCCATGCTTCGCTTCATGTACACCGACATGGTGCCCGAGCTTGAGCGGCAGGAGGACGGCACCATCATCGCGCAGCATCTGCTTGCGGCTGCGGACAGGTACGGACTCGACACGCTCAAATCGATGTGTGAGGACAAGCTCTGCGGTGGCACAAGAGTGGAGACGGCAGCGACGACTCTGGCGCTGGCAGAGCAGCACGGTTGCCCGAAGCTCAAGGCCAGGTGTGTTGAGTTCATCGCTGCAAACCTTGATGACGTCATGGCGACAGAGAGTTACAAGCATCTCATGACAAGCTCCCCATTGGTTCTGAATGACCTCCTGAGAGCTGTGCGTGGAAGAAAGAACTGAAGCAAGTTGGTGATCCCTGTAGTATGTAATTTAGAGTAGTTGTATTGTATCTGCACTGTCTCTCTGAATTTCAGTGTTGAAGTTATATTTCTTCCCATTGAGGAAGGGTGGATTACTGGAAGGATCTTTGCCCTTTGAGAGCTTGGCCTGATATCTAAGAGTTGTCCCAGGTCATGTTTTTTATGGGTAGTTTCTAGAGGAAAGAGGTAAGACCTAACTATAACCTAATGCTACAGAGAAGAGAACTAATGATCATTTGCAAGTAGTAATAAACAAAGCATGATCAGCTGTAATTTGGTGTGGCCAAATGGTGCTAACGCACAACAATGACGCTTTTACAGACACCTCAGTTGACATGTGTTTGCAACCAATATATCATCCATCATCCATATTAGCTGTGAGAACATTACAATTTACATAATGTCAAGTTAATCCAATCAAATCTAGAGTTAATCGAATCTAGAGTTAGCTTAGTTTACTAACTGTAAGCATTGCATCGAATTGGTGAAAGGGTTCATAGTGGTTTTGCTATGCATTTCCAACCTAGAATCCAGAAATCTGTAAATCTGTCCCCAACTTGATCTTCTCAAAAGCAAGGCCACCTCATTAGAATGCTAATTAGTAACTCTTTATTAATCCTTCTTCATTTCAACAAAGTTATCCAATCACCAACTCATGCTACTAGCTAGTATAGCAGTGCATGCCAATACCTTTTCCCCCTTTTTGGCTTCCTAAATTCTACATTGCATACAGAGGCTGCAAGATCTTATAATCAGACTGATGTCAAGCCAAATAATAATAGCACAGGTGTGAACAGTTTCTTCGGAAGCAAAAGAAGCATGTGTCTGTCTGTCAGTCAGAGAGCAAGAGAAGAACAGGGTCATTCATTCATATTTGAACAACAGTAATCAAACCCAGAATCTAGTGACATCATAGCTACACTACAGGAGCAAGTCGATCCATATCAACAGCATAAAACTACTAACTTGCCCTGAACCCTGACAGATTTAGTTTTGCAAGCACCATTTATTCAGTATCGATCATGCTGCTTGCTCAAAACTTGCCCCACCCTTTACGATTAAAAATATATATATATACTACAGGAGCAATTCGATCATATCAACAGCATAAAAATACTAGCTTGCCCTGAACCCTGACAGATTTAGTTTTGCAAGAACCATTTATTCAGTGTCGTTCATGCTGCTTGCTCAAAACTTGCCCCGCCCTTGCTGATCTGATTAAAAAAAGATACACTACAGGAGCAAGTCGATCATATCAACAGCATAAAAATACTAACTTGCCCTGAACCCTGACAGATTTAGTTTTGCAAGAACCATTTATTCAGTATTGATCTTGCTGCTTGCTCAATACTTGCCCTGCCCTTTCTGATTAAAAAAAAGTTTGCTTTCCCCTGACCTAACATATAGTTTCATAGGAAGTTATAAAAACATATTTAGGTGACACAGTGAGAAATTCCCAATGTTTCCATTTCCTTCTGTGTTTTGCTACATGCAAAGTGATCTCTGGCAATTGTGGAAGTAACAGCACTAACTAGTAACACAATTGTGGATGTAGATGTCAGCGCACAGCTTGCACTGTTGGTGTTTCGTCGACGGCGCGCGGCTCCATTGCGCCGGGGACAGCGTCGTGTCGGCGCCCACGCTGTGCTCGTCGTCGGGGACGGCACAGGAGAACCGGGGAGCCCTGGGAATCAATGAATCGCAAACAATCAAATGAAGCAGCAGAACCGACATGAGCATGGCTGGCAGGGCAGACTGTAGGAGCTCGACCTTGGGCCGGCCGGCCGAGGGATGGGTGGACGGACAGATCAAGTGCGGTGCGCGTACGTGCCCCTGACGACGAAGTCGTCATGGGATAGTCGGATTGATGAGGCGGAGCATGCCTGATGCGAGGTTGCATTGCACCGCAGAGCAGGCGGGAGATCTCGCTCGGCACACCAAGCGGCGGCGGCGGCGGCGTGAACCTCTGATGGACGATATAAACAGGAAAGGAAATTCGGGAGCGCGGGCCGCAGCATAGATAGAGATTAATTTGGCTCGTAGTTGCCATGTAGGAGTATATCCATGGTTGAGATCTTGCTCCAAGATATCAGGAGATGATTGAGATTTATAGCAATTCTGTTGAGATACTAGCTATATAAACGGCTCCTGCCTGTCCACCGCGAACGCAGGAACGGCGTCGTTGTCTTTCTCCCACGCGAGATCCACCGCGTGCTCCACTTCCACCTCCGCTCCCTCCTCTATCCGCCATGGCCCACACCGTGAACCTCACGGAGGCCGCGAGCTCCGAGCATCTGTTCAAGATCAACGGCTTCACGGCGACGAAGCAGAAGCCAAGGTCGTTCTCCCCGTCGAGGAAATGCGCCGTCGGCGGCCACGACTGGCACATCCAGTTCTGCGCCAACAGGTCGGGGCCGCCGAACCACCCTTCCGACAGCGGCGCTGGCTGGGTCATGTTCCGCCTCAGGCTAATGAGCAAACCAGCCGGCGGCGCGGTGGCGGCGTCGTTCGCTTGCCGCCTGGTGGATCCGAACCAACCGGGACTGGGCGACTCCCCGGACCAAATCTCCTCCGCCTCGTTCCACGCATACGAGTTCCACGACGTCTACCTCGTCAGGCGGAGCGGGCTGGAAGGGTGGCAGCGTCGGTACCTGAAAGACGACTACATCCTCGTGCAGTTCGCGATCACCGTCCTGCTCGGGGAACCGAAGAATGCGGTGGCATCGGACGCCGGCCCGCCCCCGAGCGTTCCGTCCTCCGACCTGCACAGGCAGTTCGGCGAGCTGCTGCGGAGCCAGAAGGGCGCGGACGTGACGTTCCACGTCTCCGGCGAGTCCGTGCCCGCGCACAGGTCCGTGCTCGCGGCGAGGTCGCCGGTGTTCATGGCCCAGCTGTACGGGCACACGAAGGAGGCGTCCACGTCCGCGCCGTGCGTGGAGGTCAAGGACATGGAGGCGGAGGTGTTCAGGGCCATGCTCCGCTTCATCTACACCGACACGGCGCCGGAGCTGGAGCGGAGCGGGTGGCAGGCGACGGCGATTGCGCAGCATCTCCTGGAAGCCGCGGACCGGTACGGGCTGGAGCGGCTCAAGAGGATGTGCGAGGAGAAGGTGTCCATGGACATCAGCGTGGGCAACGTCGCCACCACGCTGGCGCTGGCCGAGCAGCACGGGTGCGCCAAGCTCAAGGCCAGCTGCATCGAGTTCATCTTGGCTGTCCCGGAGAATCTCTTTGCGCTCGCTGCGACTGAAGGGTACAAGCATCTTTTTATGCTGGTTTTGACCTTTAGGTTGTTCTATAATAAGTTGTTCTGTAATTGTCTGAGTCAACAGAATTGGAAGCCATCTCTCTGACATGCTGGTTTTGACCTTTAGGTTGAGACTTTCTTCTTCAAATGATGTGGTTTGTTACCTACATTATAACCAATGTCTAGCAACCAATATTGAGTCCCATAAGCTAACAATGAACCTACATTAATGAAGCGGACACCAGTTAGCAACCTGATGTGATTTTCAACTTTTATGAGGTCAACCCAAACTCAAGATTTCCCTTAATAAGTAGCAGACAAAATATTCTATGATTTGGAGAAACATTTGTTCCTCCCTAATGATATTTAAGCTTATAACTGCTTAATTGTTTCATTTGTTCACGTCATTCTAATACAGTCACTGTTGTCTCTTCAGGGACGCCCAAAAGGTGTCACTACCAAGTACAGCTTGAAGCCTCTTGTCCCGCGCTTGTCTGAGCTCCTTGGAGTTAATGTATGCATTATGAAAATGTAGCTCATGTTCGTTCTTGTACATAGTATGAAAAACTGGAACAATAACTCATCTTATCTGCCCTTTATTTGCTTATATACATTGTTAAAAGGTTGTTATGGCCAATGACTGCATTGGTGAGGAAGTTCAGAAGTTGGCTGCTTCTTTACCAGACGGAGGTGTTCTGCTTTTAGAAAATGTTAGGTTCTACAAGGAGGAAGAGAAGAATGACCCTGAATTTGCCAAGAAGCTGGCATCTGTTGCTGATCTCTATGTAAATGATGCCTTTGGTACGGCACACAGAGCCCATGCTTCAACAGAGGGAGTTACCAAGTATTTGAAACCTGCTGTGGCTGGCTTCCTTATGCAGAAGGTATTTTCTGGAGTTCAGTTAGTCTGTTATGTACTCCATTGTGAAGAATCAATACCCCCTTTTACTTTTCAAGTTGCAAAGCCCTGATGGCTTTTCATTGACTGAGGGTCAGCTTCCAATTACCTGCAATTTGACAACATTGAAGGTTCAGCAATATTGTTTTCATCTTTCAACTAAGAGCTCTCACATTTCAGGAACTTGACTATCTTGTTGGCGCTGTTGCCAACCCAAAGAAGCCATTCGCTGCAATTGTTGGTGGATCAAAGGTGTCAACGAAGATAGGGGTGATTGAGTCTCTATTGGCTAAGGTTGACATCCTAATCCTTGGTGGTGGTATGATATTCACATTTTACAAGGCCCAGGGATATGCTGTAGGCAAATCTCTTGTTGAGGAAGACAAGCTTGAACTGGCAACTTCACTTATTGAGAAAGCCAAGTCAAAGGGGGTCTCACTCTTGCTTCCCACTGATGTTGTAGTGGCTGATAAATTTGCTGCAGATGCTGACAGCAAGGTATGCTCCTACAAAAGATGCAGATTTTTTTTTAATTGCAAGTATTCATGTTAGCCTACGTGAAGTGTCTTCTCGAATTATCTTGGGTAGCAACTGAATAATGTAATGTAGAACCTGCACCAACAAAACTCTGTTGAGTAAGCCAAGCTATTTGCACCTTGGCAACGCAACATAAGCCAGATTCTCAAGTTATGGTAAAAAATGGAAGTGCTATGCCAAGTTTTCTCGTAGGTTCAGAAATCTTTGAAAATATAGCTGTTCTCTCACTCTGCTCATGCTGACACCTGCCATCATTTGCAGACTGTTCCTGCATCATCTATCCCTGATGGTTGGATGGGCCTGGATATTGGCCCTGACTCCATCAAGACTTTCAGTGAGACTTTGGAGACCACCAAGACTGTCATCTGGAATGGGCCTATGGGAGTTTTCGAGTTTGAGAAGTTTGCAGCTGGCACTGATGTGAGTGATACCTTGCATACGAGCTATTTGCATCTCTGTGTTCTCTAGCTAAATTCATCGCCTACATCTCTGTGTTCTCTAGCTAAATTCATCGCTTATTTGTTCAGGCGATCACCAAGAAGTTAGCTGAAATCACTGCTAAAGGCGTGACAACCATCATTGGAGGAGGAGACTCTGTGGCTGCGGTCGAGAAGGCTGGGCTGGCGGACAAGATGAGCCACATTTCGACTGGTGGTGGTGCGAGCTTGGAGCTGTTGGAAGGCAAGACCCTCCCAGGTGTCCTTGCTCTTGACGACGCGTAGGCTGGTACTGCAGTATATGTATAGTGCAAGAATGCAAGTCCTCTTCTCCTGTCCAGGAAACTAGGCGCGTCTCTTCTAGTTTTGCCAGATGAGCAGTGAATAAATTGGAGGTGTGCTCCCGAACAAACTGATATGACATGGGATGGGTTTTATCCTTCCTTTACTCAAACCCTTTTTACAGTAGCCGTGCTTGGACTCTGGAAGTCTGGATGCCAGCCACTCAGTTTGCTGTTTGGTACTTCACGGATTTCAGGGTGACATACATAGTTGCATTCATCCCGTGCTGTGTATATCTTTTTCACGAATGCTCAGAGAAGGACGTGTTGTGTTTTTTTTTCACGAATCGCGAACTGGCTAGAAAAATGGCTGATGCTGATGCTGATTTGTTGTGAGAGAAAAATACTGTTATTTCGGTACGGCTGATAAGTTCAAGCGAACAGGATGCTGAGTATCATTAAGTTAAGAAAGAAACTAAAATCTATCTATCTAAATACCTAATAATAAGAGTTAAATGCATGGACGGTCCATTAACTTGCGTTTTAGTTTCACTTAGATCCATTAACTCTGAAAGTGAATTTTTTTGTCCATAATTTTTTTTGTTAGTGGCGTATTTCTAGCATATACCTCTTTGTTTCAATTTTTTAACCTCCGGGTCCATGTGGACACTGCACACACGCATGCATGTGTACGCATGATGCATGCAGGTCGGCGTCTTCCCGCAGCTGGACAACTCTTGCGGGTTTTGCTTGTGAGCATGAAGACCTTGCTGACAGCCTTGCTGAGGCCGGCGATGCAGGTCGGCCTTGCTGGGTGAGCATAACGACGCGGGGGTGCGGCGGCCGGCGAGGCGCGCGAGCATGACGGCCTTGCTGAGGCCGAGGCGGCGGACGTCGCGGCTGCCAGGAAGGTGGAGGCGTTCGAGGAGCTGAAGGGTGTGGTAGGGGCGCTCCAGGACGGCGGCGGAGGCGGCGAAGGTTGCATGTCCCGCGTCGAGGCGGCCAAGGCCGTGCGGAGGAAGGCCAAGGACGACGTCGGCGCCAGGGAGATGCTCGCGATGCTCGGCGCCATCCCGCCGCTCGTCGCGATGCTAGCATGGTCTCCTAGAACGGCAGGCTCTTGGAGGTGGAGGAGGCGGTGAGCGCCTTGAAGTTCTCGGTCGATGCCGGAGCAAAGTCTTGCGGCAGCCGCGCGTGCCGGATGATGCGCCCCATGTTGCTCTGCAGGCTCTACTGAACCAGCTGCCGCACGGCGCGCTTCTCGGCGCTCATGCCGGCGTCGTCGAACTCCCCGTCCACCGACTCCTCCTCCCCGCGGCACCTGCGCTCCTGCGGCGCCGACACCGTCGCCACGACGCCTGAGACGTCGTCTGTGACCTGCTTGCCCTCGTCGGCGCGGAGGATCTCCAGGATCCTGGACGCGCGCTTCTGCGCAAGTGCCGTGCCCACGAGCGTGAGCTCCAGGAGCGCGGACGAGGCGGCGGCCTCGGCCATGGCCGCGCGGTCACCGTAGCTCCGGTGCGGAGCATCTTGTGGACCGTGCCGCCCGTCGGCGCCGACATCTACTACTTCCCGCAGGGCCACGCTGAGCACGCCGGCGCCGCCGCCGTGGTCCTGCGCGCCGCGGGTGCCTGGCTCCCTGGATGCCTGCAGCAGCAGCAGCAGCGGAGCTTATGGAGGAATTTGCTAGTTGTCCGCCTCAGCGACGAGGAAGACGCGCTCGCCGACGCCGCGCTTCATCACGTCCACGTCCTTGAACTGCTGGCGGGGCTTGTCGTTGTCCCCGTCGGCGGCTGTGGCGACGGCGTTGGCCTCCGTGGACGAGTACAGGATGGCGGTGCGCACGCGGTTCGACGGTTGTAGGTAGTTAGGCGCTCGATGGCCGCCCAGCGGAGCGCCCCGTCGTCGTCGACGCCGCCGCGAATGACTGACCGGGAGCCGTGCTGCACAGCTGCAGCATGAAGACGTTGTCGACGCCCCACGCCTCCATGCCCATGCCCTGGCCGATGCCCCGACTCATCCGACGCCCCGACTCCCGGACAGCACGGCACGGGCTATTAGAGTATGTGATAGTCTAGGTACATTGTACCACAGTTATAGGAATGTATATGTGATTGAGAGTGATTTGTGGAGGATTGGTTGTAACCACAAATCACCTGACTATTGTAAGCCACGCAAGGGGCTCTTCCTTGTCTATATAACACGTAGCCGAGATACCGAGAGGTTATCTCGTTCAACCAATTCTAATATGGTATCTAGAGCCTAACAATTCCCAACGGAATAGATCCACCCACCCTGAATTCATCCGATGGCCACCACCTCCGCCGCCGCCGCCAATGGCGATTTTCCCTTCCAATTTCTCCCGCCGGTGACCGAGAAGTTAACTCGGGGCAACCATGCCATGTGGCTGGCCCAAGTCACATCCACTCTGCAGGGCGCGCGCCTCTGGCGTTTCACCCAGCCCTCGTCCAAGTCGCCGGAGGAGTTCCTCGCCACGACTGCCGCTGATGATGACGGCAAGAAGGCGGAACCTATTCCTAATCCGGCATATGATGACTGGTTTGCCAAGGACAGTCAAGTCCGAAGCTACCTCTTCGCATCTTTGTCAAAGGATGTGTTCTCTCAAGTTGCAAGTTCATCGACGGCTGCGGAACTCTGGACTGCGATCCAAGAGTTGCAGGCGTCCCGATCCCGTGCAAGAATCATGGCCACCAGGATGGCTCTCGCCACCGCCCAAAAGGGCTCCTCCACGGTGGCAGAATACTTCACAAAGATGAAGGGCCTCGCTGATGAGATGGCATCGGCGGGGAAGAGACTCGAAGATGATGAACTCGTCTCATATATTCTTATGGGGCTTGGAGAAGAGTTTGATCCGGTCGTGACAAGTGTATCAAACCGGACAGATCCAATCTCTCTGTATGAAGTTCAGGCTCAACTGGTGACCCATGAACAAAGGCGCGAGATTCGTGATGGTGGCACGCACTCATCTGCCAACCTTGCTGCCAAGGGAGGTCGTGGCAGTGGCGTCGCCAACAAGAGTGGCGGCTTTGGTCGCGGTGGAGGTGGCCGAGGCGGTCCTGGACGCGGTCGTAATGGCGGCCGTGGAAGGGGGCGCAATTTCCAAGCAGGTGTCATCTGCCAGATCTGTGGCATTGAGGGGCATCAGGCGTTTCGCTGCTACAAACGGTTTGACTCCAATGTCACCGGTCCTCCTCCTCAGAAGAGTGCCAACTCTGCAACCAATACATCGTATGGGGTTGACACCAATTGGTACGTGGACTCAGGAGCCATGGATCATATCACCAGTGAACTCGACAAGCTCACTGTGAGGGATCGGTATCAAGGAAACGATCAAGTTCATACCGCCAACGGCTCAGGTATGGCTATTAATCACGTTGGTCATAGTATTTTGCAAACCCCGAACAGCAATCTTCATTTGAACAATATTCTTCATGTTCCCAATTCTAGCAAGAATTTACTTTCTGTGAATCGTCTTGCACGTGATAATCATGCTTTCATTGAATTTCATCCAAATCATTTTGTCATTAAGGAACAGGCAACGAGGAATACTCTCTTCAGCGGTCCATGTGAACGCGGACTCTATCCATTAAAGCCCATCCAGAATAAAGAAGCTCTTGGTGTCTTCAAACCTACCACTTCAGTTTGGCATTCTAGGCTAGGTCATGCTTCGTCACATGCTGTCCAGCAAGTCCTTAGCCACCATAATTTACCTTTTGTCAAAGAGTCCAAAAATAATGTAGTCTGTGATGCTTGTCAGATGGGTAAGAGTCATCAACTACCCTATCCCAAGTCATCCAGTGTTTCCTCGAGTCCTTTTCAACTTGTTTTCTCTGATGTTTGGGGACCGGCACCTACCTCTGTTGGCCGGCATAATTACTATGTGAGCTTTATAGATGATTTCAGCAAATACACTTGGATTTATCTATTACGTTATAAGTCTGAGGTTTTTCAATGTTTTAAAGACTTCCAAAGCATGGTAGAACGACAATTTAATTGCAAAATTCTAGCCGTGCAATCTGATTGGGGTGGTGAGTATCAGACTCTCAACACCTTCTTCAAGCGCCTTGGGATTTCTCATCATGTTTCCTGCCCTCACGCCCATCAACAAAATGGGTCCGCTGAGCGTAAACACCGACACATTGTCGAAGTCGGCCTATCCATTCTAGCACATGCATCTATGCCACTTAAATACTGGGATGAATCTTTTCTCACTGCAGTGTTCTTGATAAATAGGATTCCATCCAAAGTTCTTCAGGATCAAACACCCTATGAGCGCTTATATGGGTCGGCACCTGAATACACATTCCTAAGAATTTTTGGTTGTGCTGTGTGGCCAAACTTACGACCCTATAACTCTAGGAAACTTCAGTTTAGATCCAAGAGATGTGTCTTTCTAGGGTATAGTAATTTGCATAAAGGATTCAAATGTCTTGATCCATCTGAAGGGAGAATTTACATATCCCGTGATGTTGTCTTTGATGAAACTATTTTTCCATTCTCCCAATTGCATCCCAATGCAGGAGCTCGTCTTCGAGCGGAACTATCCCTTCTTCCAGATATTTTAAAAAATCCAGACTCATCTTTTGGGGATGCACAAATACATGATCATACGTTGATTAACAGCCTGACTACTAATGGTGCTACTAATACTGTGCCTAGTTCTTCCAGGTCTCATGATGTTACAGGATCAGATTCTGAAGAAAATCCGGTGCAAAATGAGTCATATAATCCATATTTCATGCACTCAGCGCACAACGACAGGAATGGCGCGAGTTCCGAGCTTGATCCGCCGGCGCCGTCGCAGAAACTGCAACGCCATCAACCTCGGGATCGTCAGCTGAAACTGGCGATGTCTCCTTGTCCCCCGCGTCGGGATCCTCTGTGCCGCATACTTCTGTGCTTCAAGGTGCTGTCTCCACCAACACAGACAACCAACCAGCAGCTCGTCGGCCGGTCACACGTCTTCAGCAAGGTATAACTCAACCAAAAATACGAACTGATGGTACTGTTCGCTATGGCATGGTTGGTACAGTTGGTGCAGATAATGATGAACCATCCACGGCTCAAGAGGCATTTCGCGATTCAAGATGGGTAGAAGCGATGAACAAGGAGTATTCTGCCTTGATGAGCAATCAAACCTGGGATTTGGTGCCACCACCAAAAGATAAAAACATAATCGGGTGCAAATGGGTGTACAAGACCAAGAGGAAAGCAGATGGCACTATAGATCGATATAAAGCTCGGCTCGTTGCTAAAGGCTTCAAGCAGCAATATGGCATAGATTATGAGGACACTTTTAGTCCGGTTGTCAAGGCAGCCACCATCAGACTCATATTGTCCCTTGCAGTGTCAAAAGATTGGTCCCTTCGTCAACTTGATGTACAGAATGCATTCTTGCATGGGATTCTAGAGGAAGAAGTCTTCATGCATCAACCTCCCGGTTACAAAGATAGCAAGCACCCCACCTATGTGTGCAAGCTTGATAAGGCTATTTATGGACTCAAACAGGCCCCTCGGGCTTGGTATGCTCGTTTGTGCAACAAATTGATTCAGCTCGGCTTCACCCCATCCAAAGGTGATACCTCACTGTTTTACTACAACAAAAATGGTTATGTTATGTTTGTGTTGATCTATGTGGATGATATTATTGTGGCGAGCTCGTCGGAAAAAGCAACAAATGCACTTCTGCATGATCTTGCTAAGGATTTTGCTTTGAAAGATCTTGGCAAACTGCACTATTTTCTCGGGATAGAAGTACAGCGGTCTGGTAATGGGCTCGTGATGTCCCAGAAACGGTATGCAGCTGATCTGTTGCGCCGGGCTGGGATGACCAAGTGCAAGGCAGCTGAAACTCCATTAGCTGTGTCTGAAAAACTCAGTGCCACGGACGGAACAACTCTGAGTTCGGATGACTCTACGAGGTACAGAAGTCTAGTTGGAGCTTTACAATATCTCACCCTCACGAGACCTGACATCTCCTTCTCGGTGAATAAAGTTTGCCAGTTCTTGCACTCTCCTACCTCAGTGCACTGGTCTGCAGTCAAAAGAATTCTTCGGTATGTCAAGGGAACTTTGGATATGGGTCTGAAGATCAGAAAGTCCAAATCCATGTTGGTCAGTGCTTTCTCGGATGCCGACTGGGCTGGGTGTGTTGATGACAGGCGATCAACGGGCGGATTTGCAGTGTTTCTTGGTCCCAATCTGATCTCCTGGAGCTCAAAGAAACAGCCAACGGTGTCAAGGTCCAGCACTGAAGCCGAGTACAAGTCTCTAGCAAATGCAACTGCCGAACTCATGTGGATTCAAAAACTTCTTGATGAACTCAAGATAGCACACCAGCCAGTGGCCAGGTTGTGGTGTGACAACATTGGTGCACGATATCTGTCAGCTAACCCAGTGTTTCATGCAAGAACAAAGCATATTGAGATCGACTTTCATTTTGTTCGTGAAAGAGTAGCTCAAAAATTACTTGA